CGCTGGGACAAGAGCTTTATTAGCCTGACGTTTCGGATTCCTGCTCGAACCCATCATCAGAGACAACAGCAGATACGGCAGCAGATACCCGTAGGTAGCATATCAGCGAGATTGTATTGGAGATTTCAAACAGTAGTTTGGCGGTGGCAAGTGTCTGAGGTACGCAAGGCAAAGCGCAGGTTTTGGCGACCACAGTAGGTGGGCTAACTCATGAAATGTCAATCGAAATTCCGAAATGCGTTTTTGTTTCGAAAAGATTAATTTAATAGGGTTGTAAAACTAATCAGCCTGCAACGTAATTCTATAATATTTCAGTTACCCCAGGATACCGGCGTTCGAACAAACTTCTTTCCGGCTGCATGCAAAAACTACACTCTGTAAAGACGACTACGTAAGTAGCGTGAATGTTTCTCGTTTATTTCCGATGCCCCTAAATGTCCAATTACATTTCATGGAAAACAGGCATAAATATATTCATTCGTTTGCTCATTCGGTAGACAATTACGTCTTCTTCCAATCTTACACTCGAAGGCAGGGTATAATTCGGTTTTCAAAAACTTTTTCAATGCCCGACTAATTTTGAACCTGCTCTACCGTCACACTTGGGTTCACGGTTTCCAATCTACAAGCCGTATGTTTTCAGCGTTCGGAAAACCACACATTCCTCTACGGTAATGAAAGGAGACTATGTAGGGTTCATAAAATTAAGCAGCGGACTTTATCCATATTGTTAACTTTACGAGCCGCATTGGTAAATGCAGAGACATGACGATTTATGAACGGAAATTTCACGGTATTTAAAAGTCCCAGAATTAGAAACTTTTTTAAAACTGAATAATGTCCCTCCTCCGAGCATAAAATTAAAAGAAGACCTAATTGTCTACCGAATGAGCAAACGAATGAATATTTTATGCATGTTTTCCATGAAATATAATTGGACTTTTAGGGGCATCGAAAATCAGTGGGACAAATTCATGCTATCTAAATAGCTATTTTTACAGTGTCGTTTTTGCGTGCAGCAGGAAAGAAGTTCGCTTGAACGCCGGCATCCTGTGGAACCTGATATATTATAGAAGTTTTTTGCAGGCTGACTAGTTTCGCAACTCTACTTAATTGATCTTTTCGAAACGAAAACGTATTTGGGAAATTCGGTTGACATTTCATGAGTTAGCCCACCTACTGTAACATAATTTGGCGTTAGCTGATTGGCCGAAGTTGAGCTCGCCCTCTCTTTACTCGCCTACTGACGTCACTCGTTAGCACAGAAACATACTACGGAGACATGCCTTGTTTAATGTCCAAGGAAATTAGTGGGCGAACTTGGAGCAACTCCTTTGGAACAGACCTGTTCAGGCAGCAGCACAAGATCGACGAACCACGCGTGTCTGGGCTTTTAAGTAATACCTGTCTCCACATTACGGCAAATAATTAAACAAGTAGACATGATTGTCCTACGGGGTCAGACGTAATCACCAACAGTCTGAAAGCATTCTTCGTCAGCTGGCAAAGACAGCATGTGCGCCAAGAAGTCTAGTCCCCTGTGAGATGCGGTGACAAGACCACCTGAGAGGGGAATAGGGTATTGTTCGAAGGACACCAGAGAACACTCCAAAAGCCCTAACCAAAAGGTTAGGATACAGGCGTTGAGGGAATCCCTAGTCATCGTCTACTAGTGTACGCCTAAGCCAGTCGCTACAAGGTCAAAAATGACTTTGGCCCTTGTAGACCGATCCACTCGAGTCGTCCGTACTTTTTAAAAACACTCATCTCGTTTCATCCCCAGGATAACCTATTAACAGCTTTATGCTTTGCATACAAACTTCTTCGCTTCGCAGTAATCATTTTTTTGGAGAAATAACTTCGTTCATCGGCCACGCAATCACCCCGGTTCCCCTCGGGGCAACTGGAAAAACATCCACAAACATTTGACGACGCGTGCGCCACATAGGATGCAGAACTATGTGCAACGAGTGGGGATGTAAGCTTACCACTTCACCCGACGCATGCGCCGGTGGCGATTTTAGCAGGACCAACCACTGACGCAGAAAAAGCAGTAGTTCAGAGAAGGGAGGTCGGCTTTCCGGTTGGCCCACCGTACCCCAGCAGGACGACAGTAAGTGACTGAACAGGCTCTCCAGTTGGCGGGGAACAAAGGTGGGCGCTGTAAGACGCCATCCGGAAAGAACATGGTCGGCCACTGCCTCCTCCGTCGCACAGGTGGGATAGGGTGTCGAGCCCAACAAAGCGATTTCCCACAGAAGTACTCCAAAGGACCACACATCACTTTTCGGATGCCATACGGGAGGGTTGGCCAGTAGTTCTGGAGCGGACCAACGGATGGGCAGACGGTCCAGTGAGACCTATCGGAGGCAGCAAAAATCACTGAAATGGAATATGGCCCGGAACATACGGGTGGGCGACTGTGGGTTGTAGGATCCGAAGACAGATCGCTAGCCCTATCTTACAGGAATAGTAGTAATAGGGGTTTTACGGGTGGGGCAGCATGCGCGTAGGATAAAAGGTGAAATCAGAGGAAGCGCAGAAAATAAAAGCATTCCGGCCTTGAGATTTACGGTGGGCTGTTGTATAGCAACAGAAAGTTAGAGTGATAATCAGAGAAACAAAAATGGTTTTCAGGAAGAAGTGGGGTTTGAATAAGCCGCCGATAGTGAGTCTACATCCAGTCAGGCAGCCAAGGCGATTCCAGCAAATAGGATCGACGAGATATTAGTGATGTTTCCATTCCCAGTGGTTTTTAGTACACGCGTTTGAGTTGTCAATGAACGATAGCAAGCCCAAATCAGACAATCTCATAACACAGCGCGACGCCAGAGTAATGTAAGTATTAACAGATACCGGTGTACGCTACTAAAAATACCTGATGAAAAGTGTAGAAAGATGTTAAAAGGTGAATTTAAGGAACCATAGGCTGCGTAGGGATAAATGGTCAGGCATATACGTAGATATTGTAAAACACAAAAATAAGCGAAAACTGCAGTGTGAACAGTAGTGGGCGAAGTGGGGGCTGAGTGCAGAAAAGGGTCTGCGCTCGCCTCGGTACATGGAAAGAGCCGGGATGGTTTGATCGCTTCTCGACTCTCAGAGTTAAGTTTTAGTCAAGTAAATGCGCAGTAAAGGGTAGTATCCGCATTCACCTTGATACCGGTAGCAAACCGAAGCGTTACGATCGCTTCTCGACTGTGCGAAATTGGGTCAAGGGAAGTGTGGACTGAATGCGGGGAAGTGTCTGCACTGGTGTGCTTACATGGAGCGCCCAAAAAATAGCTATACGTACCGAAACAAGTACAGCAGAAAGTCTGTGTAGGATAGTTCTCTTAGGGTCCTACAACCTACCACTACCCACGTGTGTTCAGATCGAAACGTTGTCTGTTAAAGACAGTGGACGGAGGTGCGTGCGTCAGCAAGGGTCATCGAACAAATTCCGTGGGCAAACAACATGGTACGTACCTTTTCTTCCGGTGAGTCGTCATAACACCGGGCTAGACCAAAGTCGCAGACCTTCGCAGTGAAATCGCCGGCGAGAATGACATTTCTAGCGGCCAGATCACCGTGGGATATCTGCACAGGTGGACAAAAAGGGACGTCAAGCAGACAGGTCTGTCTCCTAGAAACTCTGGTTCCCAAAGTCTGTGAGGCAAGTTGCAAAAAAGCCACGGCAACAAACACTGCGGAATATATTAGAAATCAAGGGTTTAGTTGTAAGAAACTAGTCCCATCCTTCGTGGTATATGGGTGCAAGCAGACGGTTTCGAAGAGGCATCCTCAAAAAACCGGCCAAAATAAAATCTACACCACACAGCGGTAGAAGGGTGCTCATCGATCGCGTTACGGGAGTCACACGTACCGTTGTGCCTTAGGGCTCTCTCTCTCTTGAACCGCCTATCAGCCACACAACGGCGCGTAATACAGGCAGAATAGCATTACCGACAAAGAAAAGAGAGACTAATTAGGCTATTTCTAGCTAATTAGCCGTCGTCGGCCAGCCATACCCAACTCTGTGTTCTGCAACCCTCGGGGCTTGTTCTCTATACCGGCTCTTTAGAAGTTCATTGCTCGTCCTGCCGGTCACGTTAGGTTACTAAGCCAGAAATGGTCATCCCAGTCTCCTTTGTTTTTTTTTGTCGATAATGCTATTCTGACACCACACAGTAAAAACGTTCTTGTTCATTCCGCCCTCGCAACTTGTACTCAAGGCATTGTGTCGGAAGGCAGAATACTTAGAGCGTGGAGTTGTGAGAAACAGTTTTTGCAAGGTATGGACTTTACCGAAAATGCGCCAGGTGAAATAAACACTGAGGATGAACAGCTAGAAGTCGGTTGGCATGTCCACATGTCGTGGATAATGCGACGGCCCTCAGAAAAAGACTAGTTGAGAGATAGGCCGACAGACAGGCGGTCTCGGACGATGATGCAGTAATACCCTTAGGTGCGGCTGGTGACCAACCCGGCAATTCGACTACTTACATATAGGGCACAAGTCATAGCCACCCAATCAGACCTCACCTGCTACCGTCCAGCAATCATGGCACCTGTGCCCAGGGGGAATGAGGGGTGCTGCCGAGACGTTCACCTTCGAACTTAGGGACTTACAGATCATCCCTCTACCAAACCGCCGAACGTGTCCAACGAACCAGAGAATAAGCGGGTTTTTTACATGACTGAAGGGCTTCCTTTCGTGTACTTAAAGTGCACTTGGCGAGGGCCAATAGCGATGAGAGAAGTGACTGCCCGATCGACGACAACAGCAACAGGAAAAACTCAAAGTCTTCCGGCGACTGACTATCGAATCCACAGTCGACTTCTGAGTCAATAAAACACTTGGTGATTTCGGAAGCTTGGCAATCAATCTAGAGATACTAGATCTGTGCGTTCTGGTCGAATCTAAACACGCAGTAGATGTGCTATCTCATAAAACGTTAACCGAAATTCTGACATGTGGCTTACCCAAATGACAAATTAATGTTCCCCTTTACATGACAATGTACCCTGTTGACGTTCACCACTATCACGAGGATGCAGAGGTGAGTTACACATGAATTGATTTCCAGTGAGGAAAACTCGTGTTGCGTCAACCCTTGGTTCGCCACACACATCGTGTTCCAAGGGTGTGTCGAGATTACTGGAAAGTGAACGTGGGCACAGGAGTTGGTCTGAAAAGCCGTGGTTCATGCATGCCACGCGCTTATATAGCCTACGTCTAGGCCTTGCGACGCACCACAGTCGGTCTTGCGTTTCCGACCTCCAGTAGTCGTCTGCAGCCACACCTATCTCTATATTTGGTTGGTGCCTTAGAGGAATCAAGTTCTTTAAAAGATTATTGACAGTTTTTGCATTTCGCAGACTCCCACACGCTTGAAGTATACTTTTGCTGCTTCTATTTGAATACGTTTACCCTTACCCACTCCTTTACCTACTTTCGTACATCCTCACAGTTTTGGATAGGAAGAAGTATCGACTTGCGTCAGTGAAACCCTAAACGCTGCGCACAAACTCTCGCGCAGGGATCTCGCGAAGAGACTAAACGCCTGTCCGAAAAACGCCCTCCTTCTTTCCTGGCTCTCAAGTAACAGTATCTGCACAGGCCAGTCCGTGGAATTGAATTGTGCGTGGCCAGCTTGGCAGGAGATAAGCACTAACTACCTGCGCATGTATTCTCTGTCTGACTTCCAGACCGATGCCCAATTGGTGGATTGGGTGAGGAATATATCGGATCAGGATTCCGGCGGCAATTGGTCATCTGGAGTTCTGCATTTCGTAAGTCCTTTTCAACTGTTCATCTACTGAGTTCAGGCTTTTTTTCCTCCGTGCAAAGTCGTTGCGCCTGTGCTGTTAATATAACATTACCTTACCCTAAAGTGTACTTAACTTTTGTTTGCGGTGTCGCTTCGGAAACAAAATCACGGACAGCACTTGGAGCACATGTTGAAGTAAACTTTCCATGTGTACTGTAGGGTGACAATATCGTACCTCATAATTTAGGGAATCGCCTTACGCAGTCTTTTACATGGAACAGAAACTGTCCGGACATTTTCTAATATTAGCAATGTTTTTATGGAGATATTGCCACTGCGATTAGAATCAGTTGCATACAAGGTGTCCCAACGTCTGGGAGCTAGGAGTGCGCTTGGGCAATGCTCACAGTCGAGTCCGCGGCAAGACGAGGAAACGCGATCCTGCTGGGAAATGGTGAAGCTCAGGCGCGTGCAATATAAGAAATGCGGTAAAAGGGGCTTTACGGTTGGGGCTGCGGGAAAGCAACTAAGAATATGGGGAAAATAAGGAAAAACTCCGTAAATACGCTTGTTTATGGTGGACAGTAAAATCTCAGCGTAAACAGCGCGCAATGCAAAAAATAACTGCAGGCAACCACTGGAACTAATTCTACGTAGGATAAGGGTATTTAGACCGCTAAGACAATCGAAACTGAACCGCCCAATGGTATCACCGACAAAGACAAGGGGGAGATTGGAATGGCCATTTCTGGCTTATTGGCCATCGCCAACCAGCCATACCCAACCCCGAAGTGTGAAACACATGGTGCTCGATTTCTCGACCTGTTAGTTCCGTAGAAACTGTCGGTGAGTGTCCCCCTACCACTGTATATTTCCGATCACAACTGGCAAGAAAACTAGCCCGTGGCTCAGTAGTTAGAGGCGTTCCACTTGTAACTAAAAGGTCGCCGGATGGAGCCCCAGGTGTTCCACACTTCGGTGTTTCGTATGACTGGCTGGCGACGGTCAATAAGCCAGAAATGGCCATTTCAGTCCCCCTTGTTTTTGTTGGTAATACCATTCTGCCTATATCGTGCTCCGATGTGCTGCTGCTGCTGGTTGGGATCGAAAGAGAGCCCGTAAGGTACAACTGGGCGTGTGTGTTACGTAGAAACGATCGGTGAGCGCTCCCTACTATTGAACCACCAAAGAATGTGGCAAATCAGACGTAAACCGCAGATTGAAGTTGAAGGAAGTGGATGCCGAACGACTTCCGAAACCCCAAACCTATCCCTAACCCCAAAGCCCGAACGTTATTCCTATCCGTAAAAACCGAACCCTTGCCCAATTGTGAATACTAATCGCAGCAGTCCGTGAAGCACCTCAAACTGAAAGTATCAGCAAGTAGTACAACACCTGCTGAGGTCGCCAATAATTTGAAATTGGTAATTTGTTAACCAAGCGGGACCGCGTTTCCGAGCCCAACCGAGTCCTCCCGTGCTGCGCCAACGGTTGAATTGCAGATCTTACACTACGTGTTTTACGATTGAATAACATTCATTGTCTTTAACCAGCGCAGCGTGACGTTGATTCCACTGTTTATTTTTTCTTAACACACACTGACAACGTTTAGACCACCAGCTAGTAAAAATTTCCCTGCCGCCTCGTCAACTCGGATTATTGTGCCGTCACCGGCCCATACACCATTTTGGCTTTATCTATCGCCTGTATGCTATTGTTTGTCGCCGTTTCGTGGTGCGGAGTCAGGTTAAAAGCTGCTGGCCTTATCGACCCACTTCGAAATGCTGCGGGCCCCCGACTGACCTGGTTACTGGACGGGCATTTGCCTTGGCGCCTAAAGCGCAAGCGTGCTCTCGTGAAGACCTGGTTTTTGCACTGCGTCGTGTCCTGGGTCAGAAACTTCCGTGATGCACGGTATATCCGCACGCCTGCTATTGTCTGACTGGCGTCAGCGGATGTGTTTCCGGTGGCGTTGATCATGAGTCATACCATGGCGTGGCCCGTCACTTGGTTGGTTTGTTGCGGGACTGAATTTGCACTTGCTCATGCTGAGGCGTGTTACTCTGGTTTGAAGAGCCAATGGGTGCGTGCCGTTTAATACTTACTGACCGGAGTGCCCAGTTGCGTTTGTTTGTGCTGGAAACCGCATGTGCAACGCCCAGAGACCCGTTCATCAACCCCCGGACGTTACTTCATGCGGTGATGAAACAGGAGTTCGGGAAACTAGTAAGTACTTACGTTAGAGGTGTATTACCCATTTCGTTGTGCAATTCTGGCACGCGAAGTATTCTGGTGGTTCGTTCGTCGTAATAAATGGCAGTCATCCTCGCCAGATGGTTTTCATTTCGGGGAATCGTTATAAGGGGTTAGCCACCGGGATTTGCGTGGAGCCAGGCGTGACCCACGATTATTGCTCTACCTATAATTCATTTCCATGTATACCACCTTGCCGAGTGCATACCACTTGTACCACTTGCTTTTCTTTAGGATGCTGATCGGACTGAAGTCATTGTCCGTGGCAAAACGGCGTACATACACAAGAACACTATTTCACGACGTCTAAAATTCGACACCGTGCGTGAGGAGCTCTTTGCATGTGTCCGTGGATCGCGTTTTCAGCTGTCTTTCCTGGAGGTTTTGAGATGTGAACATACCAGCCGATACGGTAAGCTACCAATGCAAATGTGTTCATAGTAGCCAGTCGTCATTCTTAATGACAGTCTCTCGTTCCTAGCGGTGTCTTGCACAGCAGCGCTTGCAGCATCGATCTTTCTCACTTTATGGAAGAGGATGTTTCGATAGCCAGACGCGCCACGGGATACACCACAAGCTGGCATGCCGGTATGGAAGGTGATTACGTCTTTTCTTGGCGGGCATTCGTGTATACGACACGCTGTCGTCATTTTCCTTCTGACAGGGGCGAACTCCAGGAGTGGGTTCGAAGTTATTGCAACCGTCCATCAGAGTTCTCCTATTAGGCCATCCCTCATGGGTTTTCTGGTTTTCCAATGGCTCTTTGCTTATTCGCGACACAGTATCTGGCAGAGCGTTATGTGACATGCTGAGATTCGAACCGTGACTTTGGCTACTCAGAATATTCGCACTACTATTTTCACTTTGATTTGACATGGTAGGAGCTTTTGAAAGGGGAATAAATGACTACTTAATACCCGTCTGCGTGCCCTCTTGGGAACATTCTTCTCCTTGTGTTTCCAAGCGTCCGGTTTTTTTCTCTCATTAGCTCCAGCCATCAAACTTCTATTGGCTGCTGCGTGCCCGTGTGGAATCTTCACGAGTATCGTTGTTTTGCTGATCTGTTTTCGCAAACGTGGTCAAACGAATCGCCAGGTGTTGAAAAAAATTCGCAGCCGGGCTTCCGGTGGGGCTTCCTCCTTAGGCGACGCCGCCATCGCGACTTCGGCGGCCATCAGGAAAGAAGACGGCACCGCCGGCGACCGTACGCGTCTGAAACAGGTCTTTCCAACGGGCCTTCGTCTGCCGTTGCTGCGGCCACTCCACCAGCTGTCATTGCACGAACGCATCAACCGGCTCACGGATCTGGGCTTTTTTCCCGCCAGACGCGTGCAGACCGGAAACCTGCTCTACGGCGGCTGTCACTCTCGCGTCTACAGCGGCTTCGTCTCCACGGTCCGCTTTGTCGATGACGCTTCTGCCCCCGATAATCCGGTGGTTCTGAAAACACTGCCAGGTAAGGCTACTGCAATAAGTCCTTCGATTTCAGTTGGAAGACTATGCGATCAAGGAGTGTTCCCGATGAAGGGAAGGGTGACTGAACTCGCTAATTCTCGTCTTGTTATCTTTCTTAGTCAACAACGGCTCAGGTCTGGGAACATCTCCGTCAGCCTTTAGGGGTCCGGAGAAAGCAACCTCTCAGGCCAAGACCTTCTGCTTGTCGCGATAATCACATGGGGGGGGAATGCACAATGACCTGATTAAATCGTGAGAGTATACCAGATCTGCCCTAATCAGATAGGATTTCCAGAATAGGGCGACCGAATAAAGAATGTCAGATGTAGGCAGAATAGTATTACCGACAAAGACAAGGGAGACTTTGTCGGTAATACTATTCTGCCTATATATCATGCGCCGCTGTGCGGCTGCTGGTTGGGCTCGAGAGAGAGTCCATAAGGCACAACGGAACGAGTGAGTTCCGTATGAACGATCGGTGAGCGCCCCCTAACAATGTCAGATGTCGACGTACAAAGGCAGCATGTACTGAGACAGCAGATGTTGTGTGCTTTTCTCTTTAATTTGACATCTGATGTTGTGTGCCTACTTTTGACGCGGTGTGTTGTTACTGTTTCGTGACGAAGCAGGCTGTTGTTTGCATTTGGGGTTTGGGCTAGGGTTAGGGTTTTAGGGCTTGTTTTAAGGTTACGATTACGTTTAAATATTCCTTAAATATTTACGGGTAGGAGTTTCCCCACTAAAGGCATGGGTATGATTGCCGTTAGGTTTATAACTAAGTAGGTCTCCCCAAGGGAGCTACATACCATCCTCTTGCCTAATTTTATGTGTCTTGACTCTGATCCCTTGTTCAGCATGTCAGGCTTCATTTTCTGTTAACTGTATTGGTTTATTTCGATAAGGACTTTGAATGCTTTGAATAGGAAACAAGTAACCCACTCCTCGGGAGACCGACGTGATGCATGGAGTAAATGGGTTAATGGCCCTCCATAATGCTCTTCTGCGGGTCTGGCGTGTAGACGTGTCATGTCTCTCTCCCTCATCCGGCGTTTCGCCCTTGGCTGGTTTCCCTTACTCCTGTTTATTGTTGTTTCAGGGCGCACCTGCTCTGCCTACACGCTGGATCAGTTTGCCAATGAGGCCGTCCTATTAAACCGTGTAGGCCGCCATCCAAATATTGTTCGGATGCTGGGGATGGTGAAACAGAGCAGTGAGTCATCGGGCTTTCCGTTCTATTTTTCGCTCTAATGTGTGGTATACTGGTGTCTCCTGGCTTTCTTATTCCAGTCATAACGCTTGACGAGTCCTGTATCGCCCTAAGGGTGCGTTAGACATGGCGAGGAGTGGTGATCTGCGCGCGATTTGGGCTATTGTGAGAAAGGGTTCGTGCAGTTTAGCCGTTCACCACATTGCTGAGAGCATCTCCACGTGCTTGGTATCCAGGCCAACTCGGGGAGCGAATATTTCCTCTCCAAACGGCAGCATCAACAATAAGGGCCAAATCCTCAGGCAGGCAGGCCTCAACACCGAGGCGCCCACACGCGCACAGCAGACAATAAACTCCCCCAGTCCTGAAACAATCTGCAGCGGCTAAGCAGTTCCATTCGATGCAACTGCAGTGGAACCTAAGCGCGGTGGCGCTCGGACCCTCTCGCCTTGTCAGGTCTTCTTGAGAACAGACCTAGCCGTAAAATATTAGGATATTCGTCTACTTAGGACCACATTAGGAAGACGTCATTAGAACATTTCTCTCAGCTCCTTCGGTTGGGCAGTCAGACTTCTTTGAAATTTGACCCCCCCCCCCCTGTAGCAAAGGACAGTAGAAGGGGATAAGCACTAGTTTATTGGGAAATTGTAACCAATTATCACGGAAGCACAAATCTCACCATGATCTGCCTCATACAGTGTGTTTGATTCCAGGACTCGAAGGGCTGTCTTTGATTGTCGTGGAATACGTCGACGGTCCTAACCTGCTGGATTACCTACGTTCCAAGCTAGCAGATGCCGGATCGACTGTGTCAGACAGCACCATCTCTCTAATCCACTACGACCTCGTTGGGCGTCTCTACCGGGCGGACCTTTTCTCAATTGCCGTGGACGTTGCCAACGCTATGAATCACCTGACGTCTCTTCGAGTATGTAGACTGGCCTTACGATAATCCCCTTGTCTTCCAGCAAGTAAATAGGACGCAGATATACCTGCCTTGATTTAGAGCAGCTCTAACTCAAACCCAAAAGCGCAACTGAGCCAACAGGTCCGGTAACCCGATCAGTGAATGCACTTATGGCACAGCAATCAAGTAGTCATTTATTCCCCTTTCAAAAGCTCCTACCATGTCAAATCAAAGTGAAAATAGTAGTGCGAATATTCTGAGTAGCCAAAGTCACGGTTCGAATCTCAGCATGTCACATAACGCTCTGCCAGATACTGTGTCGCGAATAAGCAAAGAGCCATTGGAAAACCAGAAAACCCATGAGGGATGGCCTAATAGGAGAACTCTGATGGACGGTTGCAATAACGTCAAACCCACTCCTGTGGTTCGCCCCTATCAAAACGAAAATGACGACAGCGTGTCGTAAACACGAATGCTCGCCAAGAAAAGACGTAATCACCTTCCATACCGGCATGCCAGCTTGTGGTGTACCTTGTGACGCGTCTGGCCTTCGAAACGCAGCGGATACCTCCTCTTCCATGAAGCGAGAAAGATAGTAAGATCGATGCTGCAAGCGCTGCTTTGCAAGACACCGCTAGGGACGAGAGACTGTAATTAAGAATGACGACTGGCTACTATGAACACATTTGCATTGGCAAGAGGATGGTATGTAGCTCCCTTGGGGAGACCTACTTAGTTATAAACCTAACGGCAATCATACCCATGCCTTTAGTGGGGAAACTCTTACCCGTAAATATTTAAGGAATATTTAAACGTAATCGTAACCTTAAAACAAGCCCTAAAACCCTAACCCTAGCCCAAACCCCAAATGCAAACAACAGCCTGCTTCGTCACGAAACAGTAACAACACACCGCGTCAAAAGTAGGCACACAACATCAGATGTCAAATGAAAGAGAAAAGCACACAACATCTGCTGTCTCAGTACATGCTGCCTTTGTACGCCGACATCTGACATTTTTTCTTCGGTCGCCCTATGATACGCAATATTCTGGAAATCCTATCTGATTGGGACAAATCTGGTATACTCTCAGGATTTAATCAGGTCATTGTGCATTCCACCCCCCCCCCATGTTATTATCGCGACAAGCAGAAGGTCTTGGCCTGAGAGGTTGCCTGCTCCGGACCCCTAAAGGCTGACGGAGATGTTCCCAGACCTGAGCCGTTGTTGACTAAGAAAGATAACAAGACGAGAATTGGCGAGTTCAGTCACCCTTCCCTTCATCGGGAACACTCCTTGATCGCATAGTCTTCCAACTGAAATCGAAGGACTTATTGCAGTAGCCTTACCTGGCAGTGTTTTCAGAACCACCGGATTATCGGGGGCAGAAGCGTCATCGACAAAGCGGACCGTGGAGACGAAGCCGCTGTAGACGCGAGAGTGACAACCGCCGTAGAGCAGGTTTCCGGTCTGCACGCGTCTGGCGGGAAAAAAGCCCAGATCCGTGAGCCGGTTGATGCGTTCGTGCAATGACAGCTGGTGGAGTGGCTGCAGCAACGGCAGGCGAAGGCCCGTTGGAAAGACCTGTTTCAGACGCGTGCGGTCGCCGGCGGTGCCGTCTTCTTTCCTGATGGCCGCCGAGGTCGCGATGGCGGCGTCGCCTAAGGAGGAAGCCCCACCGGAAGCCCGGCTGCGAATTTTTTTCAACACCTGGCGATTCGTTTGACCACGTTTGCGAAAACAGATCAGCAAAACAACGATACTCGTGAGGATTCCACACGTGCAGGCAGCAGCCAATAGAAGTTTGATGGCTGGAGCTAATGAGAGAAGAAAAACAGGATGCTTGGAAAGACAAGAAGAAGAATGTTCCCAAGTGGGCACGCAGACGGGTACTAAGCAGTCATTTATTCCCCTTTCAAAAGCCACTGCCATGTCAAATGTGGGTGAAAATAGTAGTACGAATATTCCGAGTAGAGAAAGTCACGGTTTGAATCTCAGCATGTTACATAACGCTCTGCCAGATACTGTGCCGCGAATGAGCAAAGAGCCATTGGAAAACCAGAAAACCCGTGAGGGATGGCCTAATAGGAGAACTCTGATGGACGGTTGCAATAACGTCAAACCCAATCCTGCAGTTCGCCCGTCAGAACGAAAATGACGACAGCGTGTCATAAACACGAATGCCCGCCGAAAAAAGACGTAATCACCTTCCATACCGGCATGCCAGCTTGTGGTGTACCTTGTGGCGCGTCTAGCCTTCGAAACCCAGCGGATACCTCTGTGGTGAGGTACCTGACTAATTTACCTTTGACAATTTAGTCCCATTTCCTTTGACCGCATTGCTTGTTTGAATGTGACGAGAAACGACACACCTGTACAACCCGCCTTGCTAGCGGGCTCTGCTGTGGTATTCTGTTGTCAGTTTTTCTTAACGTTCAAAAATCTCTATATTATTCACTGCTCCGATTTACTTGCTGCATTTAAGGCTAGGAGCTCGTAAGATATAACTCTTTAGTTCGTGAGAACATTACGATTTACGACATTGGTGACTCCCGACGTTTACGCAGACTTTATAGCTTTCTATCATACTGGATAACATTTAACGTACTATTTGCTTGTGAATATCTATTCCATTTACATTAACTTTCCTCACGAATTCTGATATTTTGACATCTCTGTCTTATTATGTCTCACTCCGATCAACAACTTGATGCCCCCGCCCAGTCCCTTCATGCAATCAATTTTACGTTGCCTGAATTCTGGCAACACGCTCCAGAACTTTACTTCATCCGCATAGAATCAGCCTTTTATTCTGCCAACGTTACCAAGGAGCTAGCAAAATACCACAAACTCGTGGAGGTCCTCCTCGCTAGTGTCATCTCTCAAGTTCAGTCCTTGCTAGCTAATCCTCCTGCAGATGCTCCCTACTCCGCGTTAAAGGCAGAAAACTTCCGACTTAATTCTGTGTCTGACCGACAGAGGTATCACCAGTTAATTAAGGAGGAGTCACTGGGTGACCGGAAGCCCTCAGAGCTTCTACGTCGGATGCGTTGTCTCCTTGGAGACATGCAAGTTGATGATAAATTTGTCAAGGAGATGTTCCTGGAGCGCCTGCCCACAGATGTTCAAACGATCCTGGCGTCCGGCTATTCCTTTGCCGAATGTTCAGGCTGAAACCATCGTGAAGGCCTTCGTCAGTCGTTGGGTCGCCATGTTCGATGCCCCATCCACGGTTACGACTGATCGTGGTGCCCAGTTTGAGTCGGCACTCTTCCAAATGCTACTCAATTTCCTTGGCTGCACACGCATTCGGACGACAGCCTACCACCCCGCTGCCAACGGTATGGTGGAACGTTTCCATCGCCAGCTAAAGACCGCCCTGGGTGCCGTAGAAGACTCAGGAAACTGGTCGGACAACCTTCCTCTTGCACTTCTCGGCATCCGCGCAGCTCTGAAGTCGGATCTGGGCTGTAGCGCAGCTGAATTGGTTTTCGGCACTACCCTCCGACTGCCAGGCGAGATGATCACCCCAACCTCTCGTGGAGCCGACGAGACTCCTGACAATCTTGTGCACCGTTTGCGGAAATTTATGCGCTCGCTTTCCCCGGTTCCACCTCGAGCTCCAATGACTGAGTCTTATGTCGAAAAAGACTTGGACAAGTGTACTCATGTGTTCGTCCGGTGTGACCGTGTGCGCCAGCCGCTGGAATCACCATATGAAGGACCGTTCCGCGTGCTCGCGCGCAACACCAAGACCTTCCGGATTCTTCGCAGTGACAAGGACGACGTGGTCAGTGTCGATCGGGTCAAGGCTGCTGTTGCGGAGGAGCCGCCGGACCTGTCACAAGGACAAACATGTGCTGACCCCCTAACCCCTGTTCCTCCATCTTCCCTATCCCCTACTCGTTCACCCTGCCCACTGCCTTGCCCTTCCCCTCCCTTGCCCTCTACCCCTCCGTCCCGCATACTTCCTCTCCCTACATGTCAACAGCATCCAACTGCAACACCATCGTCCACCACAGCACGCAGTCAACCCTCTTCGACTGTACCTCCTGCATACATAACTCGCAGTGGCCGTCACGTTCATTTTCCCGATCGTTTAGTTACCCATTTTTTCTAGACTTGTGCATATCCTCCGGCGCCGTATCCCGTCGCCCTCCGGTCTAGAAGGGGGGTACTGTGGTGAGGTACCTGACTAATTTACCTTTGACAATTTAGTCCCATTTCCTTTGACCGCATTGCTTGTTTGAATGTGACGAGAAACGACACACCTGTACAACCCGCCTTGCCAGCGGGCTCTGCTGTGGTATTCTGTTGTCAGTTTTTCTTAACGTTCAAAAATCTCTATATTATTCACTGCTCCGATTTACTTGCTGCATTTAAGGCTAGGGGCTCGTAAGATGTAACTCGTTAGTTCGTGAGAACATTACGATTTACGACTCCTCCTCTTCCATGAAGCGAGAAATATAGTTAGATCAATGCTGCAAGCGCTGCTGTGCAAGACACCGCTAAGGACGAGAGACTGTCATTAAAAATGACGACTGGCTAATATGAACACATTTGCATCGGTAGCTTACCGTATCGGCTGGTATGTTCACATCTCAAAACCTCCAGGAAAGACAGCTGAAAACGCGATCCACGGACACATGCAAAGAGCTCCTCACGCACGGTGTCGAATTTTAGACGTCGTGAAATAGTGTTCTTATGTATGTACGCCGTTTTGCCACGGATAATGACTTCAGTCCGATCAGCATCCTAAGGAAAAGCAAGTAGTACAAGTGGTAGGCAGCTTTTACCTGACTCCGCACTCCGAAACTACGCCGAACAGTAGCATACAGACAATAGATAAGGACGAAATGGTGTATGGGCCGGTGATGGCACAATTATCTGAGTTGACAAGGCGGCAGGGAAACGTTTACAAGCTGGTGGTCTACACGTTGGCAGTATGTGTTAACAAAAGAAAGACAGTGGAATCAACGTCACGCTCGGCTTTTTAAAGAAGATGAATGTTATTAAATCGTAAAACACGCAGTGTAAGGTCTACAG